TAATGCTTCCGAAGTGACCCTGCTTTTGCAGCCAAGTGTATTTGTAATGTCGTGAAACCATTTCATTATTGTCCTCATTGTTATCTTCCAAACAAAAATTAAATGAGACACCATTAATCTATCTATATTTTAATTAATTTAGTACCACACTGAATCAAGAGATTACGTAGAGATTTCATAGAGATTACGGTTTCTTTGATAGGTAGATGGATATGTTGAAGCATACTTCAGAGTCAATTCTTTGAAATTGTTAATATTTAGCATAGAATGTTTAATTTGGCACATTTAACCAGTGCAAAAGAAAGCAAGTACTGTGCAAAAACAGAAGAGAACAATCTTTTCCCTGAACGTGTCCAGCTTTTTATAATTAGTCTTCTATGAACAACTACCTGTAACAACTCCCTGCAAATCCTGGTGCTGTTATTTGAAATAATTTCAGGTTGTTTGAAGTATTTTTTTCTATGCAACAGCAATTGATTCCACATTAACAAGCATTTTAAGAAAAAATAATAAAAATAGAATACATGTTCTAAATCAGTATTGCTTGCTTCCATGTGTAAATGGAAGCCACTAAGGGCAGGCACATACCTCTGATGACATTTTCAGGTATGAAACATTTTTAGTTGTTGCATGAATATTTAAAAGGAGGTTTATGAATTTCACAGAAAAGATTTTCTGAAGAATAGCTATTAATAAGCATTGCAGGAACTCAAACAATGATAGATCTAGACCAAACTTGGCACGAATACTCAATATGCCCAAATGTAAACACTGGTGGAGTTTGGGGGAAATAGACCTTGACATTTGGGAGTTGTAGTTGCTGGGATTTATAGTTCACCTACAATCAAAGAGCATTCTGAACCCAACCAATGATAGAATTGGGCCAAACGTCCCACACAGAACCCCCATGGCCAACAGAAAATACTGTGTTTTCTGATAGTCTTTGGTGACCCCTCTGACACCCCCTGGCAACCCCCTCAAGGGGTCCCAACCCCCAGGTTGAAAAATGTTGGTCTACACTAACCATACAATGCATTTTCAAACTGCAATTTATGTCAGTATTGATGGGGTCTTAATGGTATTATGGAATGGTATCAACCATCCGATTAACAAGATTGGATTCAATGCAAATGAAACAAAAATGTAGTAAAAATATTGTCTTAGAGGAATGTCAGCAAGACCTAAAACATGGTGCATTCTAACAAATGTACATAGTTAAAAAAAAAACCCCAAAAAAGACCATCAAAGGCATATCTAAAAAAAATACATGCACTTGTATTAAAACGTGTTTGTGCATTCAGCAACTGGAAAGTGCATGAAAAAATTCATTACTATTCAGAATGACCTATTCTTCATGCAAAGTGGTAACATAAAACAGCTGTTATTATAACAACAGAGTATTTTATGGGCTTTAGACTTTGAATGTGAAGATAGCAGAGGAGAATGTACAGCTGTTTTGCTTATAACTGGAAAAGTCTTGGGGTGTGACTCGGTTTATGAGTCTATTTTTTTAAAAAAAATTGAATGCATGATGGAATCAGTATGGTGTTCTATATTTTTGCATGCTTTTTGAAACTAGAACCTGAGAAAGGCAAATGTCTAGCATCCAATGAGATTGAGACAACCCAACAACCCATGACATTAGCATTGATATGTTAACTACCACTGTTCATTATACAGGTGAATGATAGATCATATTCCAGGTCCAATCCTTACAGACATCAACAATCCAAAAATAAAGGGACCTATAGTTTTGCTTTTAATATGAATGGTTCCATGGGAGACTTTCTTATTGATTTCACAAGAAATCTGTACAATTCAAGGGTGTTAGTTTGTAGGATATAGCTGAGGTTTTCTTGCCTCTACCAGACTTCCCCTTCTTGTGGAAACTGCTACTGTGCAGGAATCCCTTTCCCCACCAATTTCCATATAAGAGCTATGTGCGTTTACATCACATTTGAGATTTTTGTGGTCACGTTTTTCATCCAATGGAATCTTCTATTTCCACAAAGAATGTGTGAGCTTATAGCTTATGGAATTCAACATAGCCACTATCATCTCATGCTGCAAAACGAATACTGAAAATCAGAAATATGGGTTTGGCAGAAACTCAGAAAGTTCATGTTACTTTCTGCATGAGAATGGAAGTGACTTTTGAGAAGTCAGCATGACACCACAGTGATATGAACATAATATATAATTAAGAGTTCAAATTACATATATAGTACACAGCTAAATCTGTCCCAGATTTACTCTAAATTAAGTTTGTGTGGTCCAGTTAAGATCTAGATCGGTCCAAACATACTGGAGATTTAAATCATCATTTGGTTTTGATCGAAAACAGTTCCTTCCACCATGCATAGCAGCTGAAAAAAGGAACAGACTACACTGATACCAATAAATGGAACATAAACAATTTGACAGATTTAGCTACATTTATACCAATACACACACTCATGCACACACATGCAAACACACACACATGCTAGCTTGGGTACCTGGCATTGCCTGGGTTATTTGAAAAAGTCATTTTTATAATTGTACAAAATGCATAAGGTTAACCCTGAGAAACTCCATCAGAACTTAACGTTTGTTATGTTGGGAAAGTCTACATTGGTGGGGTTCAGTGTGTTCTCTGGTTGCAAGGGAAACTACAGCTCCCACTATGGTGAGTCAACCCCTTCAAATTCCCTACAGTAGGTTCAGTTGGTCACAGGGGTTCTGTGTGCCAAGTTTGGATCAGGTGCATAATCAGTAGAGTCAACGTTTCTCTGGTTGTGAGTTTACTACAACTCCCAGAAAGGAAGGCCAGTTCCCCTCAAACCCCCTCCAGTAATCAAATTTCAGCATATCAGATATGTGTGCCAAGTTTGATCCAAATCCATTGGTGTTTGGGTTCACAGTGCTCTCTGGATGTAGGTGAACTACAACTCCCACAAATCAAGGTGAATTTTCCCCAGTGTTCTCCAGCATTTTTTGCTGGTCATGGGGGCTCTGTGTACCAAGTTTGGTCTAATTCCATCTTTGGTGAAGTTCAGAGTGCTCATTGATTGCAGGTGAACTATAAATCCCAGTACCTTCAACTCCAAAATGTCCAGGCCAATTCCCCTCAAAACCCACCAGTATTCAAATTTGGGCGATTTGAGTATGCATGCCAAGTTTGGTCCAGATCCATCATTGTTTGGGTTCATAGTGTGCTCTGGATGTAGGTGAAATACAACTCCTATAAATCCCTCCAAAGACCTCCAGTATTTTTATTGTTCATGGGGGTTCTGTGTGCCAAGTTAGCTTCAGGTCCATCATTGGTGGAGTTCAAAGTGCTCCTAGATTGCAGGTGAACTATACATCCCAATATTCACAACTCCTATAAATCATGGTGAATTCTCCCCAAACCTCTCTAGTATGCTCAGTTGCTGATCAATTCCTCTCGTTTGCTGTGCCATAGAAAAGAATAGGAAAGGGTTAAGGGAGAGCAGTGGGAGTCATGCAAATTCCACACCAATGGAGAGAGTCAGAAACACTGGGATACCTGTGGTGGAGGAAAAACAGAAAATCTAGGATAAAATTGTCCCCGTGTGATAGCCTTCACTTGGGTGGTGGGCAGTATGTTGTTTGTGGAGGACATTGGCAAGGCTCTTGTACATGTTCATGGCACTCACTATAACTTGCAATGTCATTGGAGGGAGGGCCATTGGTGGCTCCTGAGTAGTGGGAGCTATAGCTGTTTATGAAGGCGAGAACTTGTCTGTGTAAGTGGACACCCCAGCCACATACACATTTTCACTTTGGTTATGTGTAATAGATAGATACTAGATAGATAGATAGATAGATAGATAGATAGATAGATAGATAGATAGATAAATAGATAGATAGAGGTTTAGCTTCATACTCTACATGTAATTGTTTAACTCTCCATACAGAAGTAAAGCATATAAAAACAGGTATGGCAGAGTGAAATAATTCATGCTTACATTAGAATAAAAAAGAAATTGTTAGCTGTACATTAAGGCTTGACTAGTGTTGATGGTCCAGCAATTAATGGTAACACTCATTTACTCTAGTTGGGATGAACAATGGGATCCAATCTTTTCTGTATAATTAGAGTACAACTCAGCTAGAGGTTGTTGTTAAAGGATAAGCTCCTACATCATGATTGGGAATACTATACAAATGCATCCTGTACACATAAATGCATAACCTCCAGTTACATCATCTTATGTCACCACTGGGATGCTGCCTAATAATGGATAGGAACTAGGTTGTTGTTTTTCGGGTTGTATGGCCATGTTCCAGAAGCATTCTCTCCTGACATTTCGCCTGCATCTATAGCAGGCATCCTCAGAGGTTGTGAGGTCTGTGAGCTCACAACCTCTGAGGATGCTTGCCATAGATGCAGGTGAAATGTCAGGAGAAAATGTTTCTGGAACATGGCCATACAGCCCGGAAAACCTACAACAACGCAGTGATTCCAGCCTTGAAAGCCTTCGACAATTCAAATGGATAGGAACTCCAAAATTACATAACTTAGGGTGCAGCTTGACAACACCTTAACTGCCATGGTTCAATGCTAGGGAATTATGGGAGTTTTAGTTTTATGAAATCTTTAGAGACATTCACATTCTTCTCTGCCATATTATTGACCCATGGCAGTTAAAGTGTCATCAAACTGATTAATTCTATGATGCAGATGCACCCTTAATCTGTGCTCAAGGAGGAGGATGGCCTATCTACTTTATTGCACCCAATGTTACACAGCAACTGTTTTTGAAACTGTAAAGACTTTCAGTAATTTCTGATATGACTGAATTTCTGATGTTAGGAGACAAAAATAGATTGTTTCTGCTGCTGTAGAAATGTACCGTACACTCAACATTAACTTTAAAATCCCAAACATTATGGTCAAACATCATATTGGAATAAGAACACTCTTAGGATGTAAGAGGAAAATTAACACTTTTATCCTAGTGGATTCGTAAAGAGCAAACAGAAAACATACATACGGAGACAGTTCTTCCCATCTTCCAGGAGCCTGTAGCCATCATAACACTGGCAGACGTATGATCCAGGTGTATTCACACATATCTGTTCACACTCATGCTTTTTGACCTCACACAGGTTCTGGGCTGCAAAAATTGGGAATTAGTGTAATGTTATTGAGAGTCAATAACAAATTGTTTTATTATTCTCATTCTTTCTATTGTTCATTTCTGCCTGAAAATGCAAATTAGAAATATATAATCAAAGAAGAGAATACACACATACACATATGAACCATTTGGTGAAAAATGCAGTTGCTTACTTACACATTGAAAGAACATGGGGCTTGCTCAGAGTACTGCATATATTATTTCCCTATTAAAACTTGCTATAAATTTGTTTTCTATTTAGTTCAAACACAGTGTACTTTAAGATGTATATTTTCAGTGTACTTTATATATGAAACACACTTTTCCTTAGGAAAGGAAAACTTGATGCTCAATACATTTATTTATAAGGTATCTTATTTTATGTTACCTATACAGAAAAGCCATTGAAATCCACAAGCATGTGGACAATTTCAACAGAAAGGGAGAAACCATGAAAATGAACAAACTCTGGCTACCAGTATTTAAAAAACTCTAAAATGATAATGGTAAATAAAGAACTAAACTCAAACACAGGGGAACTCCAGACAAGAAACAATCAGGAACAGCTAATCACCTCTCAACAAAGGATTCTCCCAGGCAGTAACAAGCCACACCTAAAAACTGTCAGGCCATCAAATGCTAATCAAGGTGGCCAATTGAAACATTCACACCTAGCTCCAACAGACAAGAGTTCTTTCTCCCACCCTGGACATTCCACAGATATATAAACTCAATTTTCCTAGTTTCCAACAGACCTCACAACCTCTGAGGATGCCTGCCATAGATGCAGGTGAAACGTCAGGAGAGAATGCTTCTAGAACATGGCCATACAGCCCAAAAACCTACAACAACCCAGTGATTCTGGATGAAAGCCTTTGACAATACATAATACAAAAAAGTTATATCATTCTCTACTGGTGCTTTGCAGACTCCCTCACGGCACAAAAAGCACAATATAAAATGCCATTTTACATTCAGAATCCCCTGAAAATCAAATTGTAACTTATGAAAGAATGGCAATACAATATTGAAAATAATAGAGTTAAAGATACTTGAGAAAATGTAGTGCATCTACACTGTAGAATTAATGCAGTTTGACACCACTTTGACTCATTGGACAATGCTATGGAATCATGGATTTTGTAATTTGTTGAGGCACCAACAACCTTTGGCAAAAAAAAGTCTAGCTATCTTGTAAAACTACAACTCCCAGGAGCCATTGAGCCATTGCTGTTAAAGTGGTGTCAAACTGAATTAATTCTATAATGCATTGCATGTGTGTACAAATAACTGTCAGTTAAATCAATGGGCTTTTTATGTGTATGACTGGCTGCATGATGCAATCACTGAGCAGAATCGATAACCATTTTAATCAGTGTGAACTTTCCCACTGACTTTAATGAAATGTGGATTTAGTCCAGGGTTTTTGAGGGTTTATTGGAGCGTAAATGATTTGAGGACCTAAAGCTTGGTGAAGAATTAACTGAAAACTGATGCTCACATTTAACTAAATGCATCTGGTTTATGTTGACAACACATTGTCAGAAAATATAAACAGACCTGATTTATTTCTGCCTAGGCTTAGAGGCCAAGTGGGGAATACATCTTTGGTCTTGTATGTTTCTGAATGTTAAACAACAAAGACACATCCAAAAAACTTTTTGGAATGCATGTGCATTTTATCTTGATGTGTTTCAGTAAACCACCCTGGAAATATGTCTTCAAGGAAGTAGTTGGCTTTTTAAAGTAATTGATTAAAATAAATAAGGCAATAAAAATCAGACCAGGGCTATATAAACTTGTGCCTAAATCCATAACAACAAAATTGTTTAACTTTATCCTTTATCTCCATAAAACATACACATCCTCTGTACAGTGTGTTAATACTGTACATTGCACAGTTGCCTCAGAGTAAAAAAAAAAAAGTATAACAGGGCCATTGGCAGGATGTTCTCCATGGCTATTAAGCATGTTTTCCTTTTAGATGAAGGAACACACCACTATGATTGCCATAGTTTAAGTTCTAATTGGCAGAAGAATGGATCTCTTTCTCTTCATGCCTCTCATGCCCATTAAAGTAGATTGGAGGGGAAGGAGTTACAATTGTGGTGTGCCGTCATGCCTGGGGGCTATTATTCTTAATGAAGGAGGGATGGACGTGGCATCTTTCCCCAGGGGATTGCTTCTTGCCCTCCTATAGGAAACTGGAACTCTCAAAAACCCAAAACACTGTAAATAACTCAAAATAAGTTTTATTGATCACAAAGAGTTATTTCTTTAAAGCAATGAGCTGGAAACTTCAGAGGGGTGAAGGAAAATATACGTTACAGTCTCAGTTAGTCCTGGGTCCAAGGTGTTTGAAGCTGAGAAGCTTTTCCAAGTTTCCTCTTTCCTCAATGGCTGTGAATGCTGGAGCAAACCACAACCCCAGTTCAGATGGCCTATGTTTGAAGACTCAGGATCTTCCTTTGGTGCCAAAAGAACCGGTTTGAAGGCGCTTGAGGCTTCCAACGTCGTTTAGGTTGGTTTGAACATGAAGCACAAGTCTCAAGGGTAAAAAACCTCAGAACTGATGCTGAGAGGTAATTAAATCAGGGTCTTTTAGAGTCAAGTCTGTTACTCACATCCATCTGGTAGAAATTCTGATGGAAGAACGAAAAGAAAGGAAGCACTCCCCTCCTGCAGGAAGAGGTGGAGCCAAACAGTACTGATTGACAGCTATAAGTAACCAATCCATCCAACTATACATAAGCAGGGTAAAAAGGCAGGATTAAGCATGATACGACAGTTTAAATCTTGCAACTAACAGTTCTACACATAGATGGCACCACTTGCATGTGGCAATCATGTCCCAATGGTGATTAGTGGTTGTGAATATGAAGTTGTAGACATGTGCCATTGCTACTCAGGCCTCTTCTACACTGCCCTATATCCCAGGGTCCCAGATTATCTGTTTATCTGTTGTAGATCAGCCATGAGAGGCTGATGGCTTATCTGAAGATTTAGAGAGGATTGTGAGTTTTCCTATGGCTTAAAGTGATGGGCTCTCAAGTCTGGGAATGATGGTTCTCTCTGTGAGAAAACTGGCTTGGAAAGTGCAGGCCTCAAGGGAATTCAGGGGAGTCAGAAGTAACAACAGCAAATCAATAATCGAGTGAAGAGCTGAGTGATAAAGAAGGTTCCCATGAGAATCCACCTGGAGCTACAGAGATCAGTTTACAAATCAGAGCCAAAAATAGATTGCATTGTTCATAGAGATTACGTGGGAAAGTTGTGAAGGAAATCTATGGGAAACAGAATGATTTCATGAGTGTCTATTAAACAACAAGTTGTTTACTTTAAGGTCAGTTCAGGCAACACTGCATTAGAGTGAAAAGCTAAATCTGAGTTCTCTTGTTCCTGGTCCAAGCAAAGCTTTGATTTTGGATTTAATATATCTGTTGGGGGTTCAGCCTGTGTGTGAACCTGAAACTGATTCTCTGATTGTATTTCCTGATGCTAATGAAGATGTTGATTCTGAGGGCAATGTAGAAGATGACGGTTTGTGTAGTGAAACTCTTGCAGCCTTGGAAAGTGAAAGTCCAAATTCCCATGAGAATATTTCAGAGCCAAGCGATGAACTTTCACTCCCTTTCCTCCCAGTCTTAGCTCTCCAGAGAATCTGACACCTGGTCTCTCTAATGAGGATAGGAGAGGGTAAATTTGGCAGAGCAGAGGAGAATCTCAAAGTTTACGAAGGTCAGCTAGACTGAGAGAAATGCAAACAAAGCCTGCAGGCGTGTCACGTAATAGATTTCTTGGCCTTAAGTACCTCTCGCCTGGATGCATCTTCAGACCAGGCATCGTTCCAGATTCAAGCATCATCCTTGGCAGGTCTCCTGATTCCAGTGGCCATATTCCTAAGAGGCTTCCTAGTTGCTTCAAGTACGGTTACTGGATTGCTAACAGGTTCCAGGATTTAGCAGTGCTACTGTGGGTTTTTGATCTTGTTCATGGACATTTTTTGTTGCTGATTTTTACTGTGGCTTTTTACCTTGCATATTTCCTCTATTTTTGTACTCATCTTTCTTCAATAAAAAAGGATTGTTTTTCCTGAAGTCAAGTGTGGTGGATTGTTGTCTGAGGGTCCAGTTTCCTGTTCTGGGTTGCAACAATATCCTGGAAGTTTTCTATGTTCCTGTTCATTTACTCCTGTTCAAATCCTATTAGTCATGTCTTCTTGATTGCGGACTTATTTATGCTGTATCTGTGATTCCTGGCTATTCCTCGACTTTGGAACTTTATGAGACATTTGGATTATTGTTTGGTTATCACCGGTTGCTAAAGCTTTTTTGGATTATATATCTTCCTTTCTTATTCTTGAATATTATATGCTTTTACAATAAACTGTTTGCTTATATACCTGGACTCTTTTGTGGCACAGTGATCATCGTTGTTTCCAGAACTGGAGTGCAACATTTTCCCAGATTATATGGCAGTGGAGACTCATATAATCCAGTTCAAAGCAGATAATCTGAGATCAGATCCTGGGATATAGGGCAGTGTAGATCTAGCTTTAGTCACAATTGTACCACTATCACCACCATCATAAGTACCATCCAATCTACTTCACTGGGCATCGGCTGCCTAAGAAAGAGATCCATTCTAAGGGTGTTCAAAGCACTGGGAAATCATGTTTGAACATCCTCAGAATGGATCTCCACAAGGTTTGGGGTAGTACTGGGCCAGGAGACACTGCTTATATTTAAGTATACTTGGTATACTTTACTTAGTATACCGGTAATTATGTATTTATGTATGTATGTCAGTTAACGGTATGTAACTAAATTGTTGATACAGAATCTTGGTCATAAAATTTTCGAAGTTCTAAAAAATTATATATGAAGTAAGACTCCTGTATCCATGGGAAATATGGATACAGGAAAAAACGTTTTTATCCCAAGACTTTGACAATAGACCAGACTGCCTGGGAGGATTGTTGATTCTCCTTTGGCGAT